GTTGCCAGGGAAACCAGCACTGAGCGAGACAACGACTTAAAGCTTCTTGCAGCGTTTGAAGCTGGTAAACATGAAAGGTTATCTGTCGAGCTGCGAGAGTTAGAACTGTGACATATCTGGAAGGGTCTTATTGTTTGAATTGAGTTTTTTTATGACTCGTTGCTCTCTGAGAAATCGCCCCTTGGGTGTTTGGTAAGATATTCACTTCAGTCAAATTAGAAGACAGCCTGTCGTACAGGTAGCATGCCTGGTTTGTTTTAAGAATACAATGCAAAATACAATTCCCTTTGTGTGGTCAACAGACTTTGTTGTACTTCCTCTTTTTCAAAGGAAATCTTATTTCATGCATCATGAAGTGTCTGTAATACTCTTTCAGGGTTGCCACTTTCTAATAACACGTCATATGTGAGTTTCTCAACTGTTTCATTCATGTAAAATGTCTGGGTTTTTTCTACAGTCTGACCAGCGATTTGATCCGTGTTGTGACAAACTTCTGTTGTGGCAATCGACTCAAGCTCTTCAGCATTTTGATAAACTATTAGACCATTTCTCAGAAAATTCTGCATACAAAAACATAAAGCATTCATACTAAAACACAAATGTCTTGTCAATCATTGTTCACATCAGTAGACCAAACAACAGCTTGGGAACCAAACTATAAAGCCACACTGCAATATAGCAGCTGTGTCATAAAACAGGGCTGTAATGTGCCTATATGCCTATAAGTATTTTAAAAATGCTAAATGAAATTCAACACCAAATCCAAACACTTGGCAGAGTACACCAAGTTCTCCCAGCTAAAGCTAACACGGCTAAGCAACACACTTTACAGTGGTTCCCAACCCTGGTCCTTGAGGAACACCGTCCTGCATGTTTTACTTGTTTCCCTGATTTGACTCACCTGATTTGAATGGATTAACTTGAGAACTTGAGGAAGTAATTAAATTACTGAATCAGGCGTGTTGGAGCAGGAAACAACTGAAACATGCAGAACGGTGTTCCTCAGGGACCAGGGTTGGGAACCACTGCTTTAGAGGAAACTCTAAACCGAAGAGACAAGTTGCCACGAAACAGTGATACAGCACAAAAGGATTACAGAACAGGTGAGTGATTTTATCACCATGGATGACCAACCCATCGCGGCATGGAGTCAATAGGTTTTTGTCACTGTTGAGCTGTTGAACTTTCTCAACAAAACAAAACTGACAGCACCATCTGAGCTAAATAAAAAGGTTTGCCATCACCTGGCCTTTTTTTTATTATACCGGTATATAAAACCACTTAAGAAACAACAACAGGTTTTCTTTGCTGGAATTAGAGCTATACAGAGATACCAGGTACATGATAACATTGATTTTAATAGCTTTGATGTATGTGGTATATTCTGTAGAACAAGTGAAATAATGTTAGAATCTGACAGACATGGCCGATACTACCATAGATTTTAAATGACTTAAACTAGGGGCAAAGTAAATCTATAGTTTTAAGTGATGACATTTATATCTAATTTGAATTAAAAAGACTGATGGTTATGGTTTATACATAAAAGTGTAATGAACAGATACTTAAAATTCAAGTTCAAGTATCTTTATTGTCATTTGCATCACATGTGGTACATGAGGTGGAATGAAATTATAAATGGTAAATGGACTGCATTTATAGCGCTGTTCTGTCTTATCAAGATACTCAAAGTGCTTTACACTACAATCTGTGCCCTCATGTACCCAGCACTACTATATTTGTACAAAAAATAATCAGTGCTTCATCACATTCATACACCAATGGGACGCACATCGGAGGCAATGAGGGGTTCAGTGTCTTGCCCAGGGACACTTCAGCATGTGACTGCTGGTGGAATCGAACTCCCAGCTCTTGCATTGGAGGACGACTGCACACAGCCACAGCCGCCCCAAATTATGAACTCAAGGTCCCAGTTACCCAAAAATAGCAAAAATATAAAGTATAAAAAGAAACTGTATATAAGGATCTAAGCTATACACTAAACATTCGATACTATTGACCACATTATTCTCCCTGAAAAATTGAATAAATATGGCATTAGAGGACTAGCACTACAGTGGATATCTAGCTATTTGAAAGATAGGAAACAGTTTGTACAAATAAATGATGTAAGATCTGACCTCTGTAATATCATATGTGGCGTTCCTCAAGGTTCTGTACTTGGACCAAAGTTATTTATTTTATATGTGAATGACTTGGTAAATGTGCCAGGATCCTCAAAGGTGTTTTATCTGCAGATGATAACACTTTTTTTTTGTTTGTTTGTTTTGTTTGGGTAACATATTGTGTTGGAGTTGATGCAGACAGAATTTGGAAAAATACAAACTTGGTTTAAACTTAATAAATTATCATTAAACTTAGATAAAACTAACTGTATGGTATTCAGTAATAGAAAGAGAACTGTCGATGTTTCATTTAGAATTGAGGGTGTTGAGATTTGTAGAGTTAGTGAGGTGAAGTTTTTGGGTGTTATCGTTGATGAAAAGCTGACATGGAAACATCACATACATTCTGTAAGAATAAAAATATTTAAATCTATTGCAGTAATGTACAAAGTAAGAGAGTTATTAAATGATAAAGCTCTGTATATGTTGTATAACGCAATCATTGTTCCACACTTAATCTGTTATATTGATGTTTGGGGGAAAGTGTGTACAGTATAACAATTATAAATCCTATTTTTGTTTACAGAAAAGAGCTGTAAGAATTATTACCAGGAAGCATTTCACTGGAACAAAAGAAGTAAAGTCAAAGTTTTCCTAGCTGGATCATAGATCTCTGACCTTAATGTCACAGCATAAACACTGAAATAGATTGGAGGGTTGAGACCCTGGTTCTGTTCACCAGCTACCCAGATGACTGGAAGGCCATCTAATTTACATTTTTACAATTATGCGCATGTGTAAAATAATGCACCATGCCCCAAATAAAATCTTAGCTATGTCCAGCATTCAAGGTCAGTATTCAACTCTAGTCTTTTGTTTTTTTAACACCTGCTTTATATACAAATGTATTCATAAATTAATTTTATTGGTATTTTACGTTGTGATAGCAAAATATCCCCAACGTGCAGTGCTGCCAGCTGTGTGAATGACCACCTAGCACACTGTTTACATCAAACATATTTCAACAAACTGGAAGTAGACATGAATGTATCTAGACAACAATGCATCGCAAAATACTGACTTTGAGCATGCACATTAGTAACTATTCCATATTTTCCTAACAGAGCACTTTGCTCTCAGATTGCATGCTTACCAGTTCCTAGAGTTTCCAAAAGCAGAATGGGAGGAAGATCTTTCAGTTATCAGGCTCCTCTCTTGTGGAACCAACGTCAAATTTCTTTCCATGAGGCTGACACATTGTCCAGTTTTAATACTGGTGTTAAGACTTTCCTTTTTGATAAATCCTATAGTTAGTTGGCTTGGTTTCCTGACCTATTCCTAATTCTTTGCTGCTATAACCCAAGACTACTGGAGAACAAATTGACCTAATTTCATCAAATTAATACTTTGTATTTGTAATTATTCTTTCATGATTTCATCTTTTTGTCTCTCCTCCTAGAGAAAAACTGATGGCCTCCATCCTGGACCTGCCATTGTGTTTTCGTTTTCTCCTTCCTGTCCTTTCAAACCCAGCCAGTCGAAGCAGATGTTTGCTTTTCCTGAGCCTGGTTCTGCTGGAGGTTTCTTCCTCATGGGAGAGTTTTTCCTTTCCACTGCTGCCTCTGTGCTCGCTACTTCCTCAAGCGACTGAGACGAGCTGGTCTGGGAAGCTCAGTCCTCACCTCCTTCTACAGGTGTGCAGTGGAGAGCATCCTGTGCTCCAGCATCAACTTGTGGCATGGAGGCTGCACAGCTGCAGAAAGAAAAGCTTTGCAGAGAGTGGTGAAGGCTGCACAGAAGTCTGTTGGAGTCAGTCTCCCCACCACCACAGACATCTACACCTCCAGATGCAGGAAGAGGGCCACCTGCATCATGAAGGACCCCACTCACCCAGCACACACTTTTTGCCCCACTCCCCTCAGGAAGGAGGTTGAGGAGCATTAAGTGTAGAACCACTAGACTGAGGAACAGCTTCTACCCTGAGGCTGTTAGACTCATGAATCTCTAACCAGAATAATCACTGTGAAAAATCAGATCATGTTGCTGCTGATCTGTTTCATGTTGCTGCTGATCTGTTTCATGTTGCTGCTGATCTGTTTCATGTTGATGTGTTCATGCGTGCTCATCTGCTCACACAGACTCATGTTCGTGCTGCTGTTCGACAAATTGTTTTTATGCTACTAGTGCTTAGTGTATTATTTAGCTGATGTTTTTCTTAGTTCATATGTCAGATCTTATTACTAATTTTCTTTTACATTTTATTGTTGGATGTAACTGGGACGTTGTGTACATAATCTCGTTCCACCACATGTACCACATGTGATGCGAATGACAAATAAATCTCTCTGAATCTGGTGGGAGTCTGCAATGAAGTGAAAACTCAAAGCAATCTGTTGGCTCCTCAGATAAATAACGTTATTAACTGACTTTATATATGTGGATGTTTCTGTTCAGTGCCCTGAGACGACTTTTGTTGTGCATGTTTGGTTCTTTTGTACAGCACTTTGGTTGGCCTTGTTGCTGTTTTAAGTGCTATATAAATAAATTGGTATGGTATGGTGATTTGGCGCTATATAAATAAGCTGATTGAATTGTTAAAAGCGGTGCTCAGTCCAGGCGGTGAAGTAACTCCAGTTCCACCTTTTCCTCTCTCTGGCAGAGTGTCACGGTTCGGTCCGGGAGGAAGACTCCACTCCTGGTTTTCCTTACCGCTCCGGCTGCTGCTGCCTGACTACATTGTATCAGTTTCCACACGAAGGAACCAGCACGGTATTCGGTCCAGAAATCGGCGAACACGGAAGGAATTAACCTGGATGGGAAGCAGTTCCCTGTGGATTTAATTGCGAGGAGGTCGCGGAAGGCGAGCGGACTCGGTTCGGGCTCGAGACCGCGGCGATAAACATGCGTTTTGGGACTCGTCTGTGTTCGCTGTGGACGGTGCCTCGAAGTGTGATGGCAGAAGTCCAGTGAGTCGCTGGCCTCCCCTCCTCTCTTGTGTTGGGTGTCTGGGGGAGTGCGCTGCCACTGGTTTCTAGTCTCGCTTCAGATTTTTTTTTTTTTTTTTTTTAAACAGGTTTTTATTATAATTTAGCCGCGTTGCGCTGACTTGCTTCTCTTTTTAATTTTTTTTTTTATTATTTTGTTATTTTTGTGGAGCACACGCCACCATGGACAGACGACGGGTTGGAATAGAATTGTCCAGTTAAGTCGGTAAGTTTGTCCGTGTTTTTTACCATTTGCTGTCATTGTTAACGGTGCTACACTCGTTAGCATTAACGTTAGCCTTGTGTGCAACGTTAGCCTTGTGTGCGTTTAGCCAGCACAGCATGCAGCAGCAAGCTGCTAGCCAAGGTTGACTGACTGCACTCTGAGCTCATTGTTTTACTGTGCCAGATACCTAAGGTTACACTCACATTAGCTCATCACACGAACCGAAGCTAGCTCCATTTCCCTGCCTTTTCTCTCGCTTCTTCTCTCGCTTCAGCTCCGGCGAAACCATGTAGCATTTGAGCTAGAGCCCATTGAAGCTTGGCTAACTGCATTTGTTTAGCTGGAGGGACGTTACAATCAGCCTTCCCCTCGGGGATAATAACATTTATTAGCAGTAAAACAACACACGTCTGCCTGCACTGATCATGCTTCTTGACGTGTTTGGGAACATGGTGTTACCGCTGGAGGAGCGGATTCCATCGGGGAAGTGTGTGTGTTCCCCAAGGTGGGTACCGTGGCCCCCAGGGGGTCCTCAATGGAATGGCCTGAAAGACAAACAGAAAATGAAACGTTTTGTAAAGCCTTGTCACTTTCTGCACACGTGTTTCCTTTCTGCAACTAGCACAACTGTAAGACCCAGTGTGAACTACTCTGGAGGTGATTGTTTTTACATGAAGCTTTGTGTAATGAAACTTTAATTCCCACAAAATGGTGGCTCCTCCTGGTCAAACATGTCTTGATGGGGCTTTCTGAAAAAGGGTGACGTGTCTTATTTGTCTTGATGTATGTTGTTGGATTAACCAATAGATTAATTTAACTAAATTACTTTAAAAAAGTCTAGTAAATCTTGTAGTTTAAGCTGCACAGTACCACATTTAAGACAAATGGCTATGAAATGGGTTGAACTGACAAAATTTGATCTTTTGTTGATGCTAAAAATCAATACAACTTTTTTGCTAGTGTATCCATTGATTTTTTTTTGGGGGGGGTGCCCTATGAACCTTTCTAGTACATTTAACATCAGAAGCAGTTGCACTTCTGTAATACTGGTTGTTTCCAGTTTTAATACCTGCTTTTATTGCTTTGCTTTTAGCTTCTGCTTCAAAGTAGGCCATATTTTTTCATTATAGTATATAGGAGGATGTAATTTGTCCAGTTTTAAGTATATACTGCTTGACCAAGCAAGTTGACTTGCTTTTGCGCTGTAAACGGCAGCTTATGGTGTTGAGGTTGTTCTCACGTTTATTAAAATGGAACGGTACACAAAAAAAGTGAAGCTTAGGCTTTTTTGAGCTTATGTGTAATAGAAAAAACTGTACATGACTAAAATGATGCGTAAGAAAAATAAACAAATGGGAGTATTACAAATATATTAATACAATGGTTGAAAGAGAAAGTTTTGTAATGTTTTGGTTTATTGAAGTCAGTCATTAAGACAAAGCAGCTTAGGTTTTACAGTGGTATTAACAAACAATTTGAAATGGCCATTTTTTTTTTAGAGATTAGCGTCTCGCACGGAACATTTTAACGCTGGCACCAAGGCTTTTTACTGCCTTTGTGTGATTCATCTGGAAGTCAACCTGCCGCTGTTACACTGCTGATCTGCAGTCTAGTGCCTAAACAGTCGATGTATATAAACGCAAGCAATCACTGCAGCACAGTGATGTGTTTTAGTGATGACAGATGGTCTCTGTGATCAGGTGACAATGCGGTTGGAGATTAGTTCCCAACCTTCATGTGCCTTTAACTGGCAGAAGTGTCCCATTAAACTATATAATATGAATTTGGCAGTTTTTACACACAACTTGTAACAGTCCCAAATTCTGTTTTAGTCCTCATTGTTAAAGGTTGCTAAGGTCAGTTCGTGTTCAGATGAACACTATAAATTATTTCAACATCTTTCTGTCAGGTCGTCTGGACAGTTTCTTTTTTTGTGCTGAAACGAAAAAAAGAAACTGTCCAGATGACCTGACTGAAAGATGTTGGATTGTATACCTGGATTATTGAGCATGGACTTTGTTGTTTTCAACCAGTTTGACACTATAAATGATTGCTTGTCAGTACTGCCTTTTCTGACGTTCAGAACTTTTTTGTACAGACGTGCTCAAGTGGAATTGCTTTGTTTTGTTTAATGTATTGTTTACTGACATAAGCAGTTGTTATGTTTACAGTTTCAAAGCTATTGTAATTTGTAATGGTTAAGTAATGGGTGAAATAAACCCTGTCTTGGAAAAAGCGTAGATAGCACACTTATTTTATATATTTATTTCTTACAATGTTTTTCTGTGTGTGGAGATGTAGGATGAGGTAATATTAGAAAAATAGAAACCTTGTCACTGATTTTTCAACTAGGTTATTTTGCTTGGAATTCCCATACCTAATATTAACAATCAGAAATGTAAAATTATTAGCTGAAACTTATATAACAGGGTTTCCACAGAGCATTTAGAAGCATCAAGTCCTTTAAAGGGTTTAGTTATATTTAAGGCCTTAAATGGCAAAAAAAAAAAAAAAAAAGGCAATAAATTAGAATTTCAGTGACATAAGATATTTAGACTTTTTTTTTTTTCAATAAAAACAAGATGGTGATTTTGGAAAGCTTTCAGCCAGACTCGCTCATCGGGATGATATGTTAGTGTTACATTAGAGTAACATGTGGAACCAGTTTAATAATTGTTTCTGGCCGGTCAGTTGTCAGAAGATCATGCATGCGTTGGAGGTGGAAAAAGTAAAACCTCAGTAGCAGAACGAAACTAGGTTGATGCAAACTCCAGCTAAAGTAGCTGGAAAACAAGGAATTTAGAGCACTGCTGCAGCCCGTCCACGGTCAGGATGGTAAAGGATTTTGCAGCATTTGTACAAACAATATGTTGAAGTAGTCAACGTGTGGAAAGTTAAGCTGGTGTTGAGCCAAAAAATTAGCCTCCGTGGGAGTGCGTATTGACAGTCTTAGTTTGATTTGCTTCTTTTGCTACTTTAACTATTGTATTAAACAATATTAACACTAAAAGTCATTTATTTGTATACCCATTGCCCAAGATTATAGCAAAGGTGCGTCTCCATTTATCTTTTTTCCCCATTACTTCACAATGTTATCTCAATGAGTGTTAGTTTAAAGTATTCAGTTTATCGTAAATGAATGCAACATTTAATATTGCACAGGATTTTATCAAAATAAAAATTTGATTCATTTGATCATCTTTGGCTCTGAAGTGGGGGAGCAAGAACCCCATTGTCATGAACTACAGATCCAATGCATCACATTCATTTTAATGTGTGAATTTTTAAGCTTTTGCGCAGATTCTTTTGTTGTCTTCTCCAATCAGTCACATTCGGAGCTGAAGTAGGGCTTGGTAGGAGACCTGTTGAACTAAGGGGCCGTTTACACGGCGCGTATTTTGAGTGAATCCGCAGCTTTCTCTCTGCGGTTCTGCTGATCATTTACAAGACACCCGTGCCCCCCCCCCCCCCCCCCCCC